GAGAGATGATGAGTTTCCCAGACAAACACAAGCTAAAGGAATTTGTGACCACTAAAACAGCTTTGCAAGAACTATTAAAAGGGACTCTTTGAGTGGAAAGAGGAGACTAAAATTGACAGTATAAAGATAAGAAATATAAAAGCAGTAAAAATGAATATTTCTATAAAAAACAGTCCAGGAAGTCACAATAAAAGGATCTAAAATATACATATACCTAATAACATATATCTAAAATGTGGGGAAGAGAAAAGAATGGGTTCAAACTTAAACAGCCATCAACTTAATATAGACTGATACTTATGGGAGAAATAATATATAAACCTAATGATAACCATATATCAAAACCCACTAATAAGCATGCAAAGGATAAGGAGAGAGAAATCCAAATATATTCCTACAGAAAATCAAAACATGAAAGAAAGACAAAAGATCAGATAAAATCTTCAAACTCCCCCAAAAAACAAGTAATAAAATGGCAGTAAATACATATTTATCAACAATCACTTTGAACTTAAATGGACTAAATGCTCCAATCATTTGGAGGGGATGGAGAAACATCTATCATGCAAATGGATGTCAGAAGAAAGCTAGAGTAGCAATACTTATATTGGACAAAGTAGACTTTAGAAAAAAGACTGTCACTGAGGCACCTGAGTGGCTCAGTGAGTTAAGCATCTAACTCTTGGATTTGGCTCAGGCCATGGTCTTATGGTTTGTGTGTTCAAGCCCTGCACTAGGCTATGGGCGGGAAGCATGGGACCTCTTGGGATTCTCTCTTCCCTCTCTCTCTCTGCCTCTCCTCTGCTCACTTACTGTTTCTCTCTGAGAATAAATAAACTTAAAAAGAAAAACAAAAAGATTGTCACAAGAGATAAAGGACACTATATCATAAAGGGGACAATCCAATAAGATCTAATCATTGCAAATATTTATGCACCCAACATAGAATACCCAAGTAAATAAAACAAATAATGAGAAGCCATAAAGGAACTAATTGATAATACAGTAATAGTAGTGTTAAAACTCTACTTACATCAATGGACAGATCATCTAAACAGAAAACAAACAAGGAAATAAAGGCTTTGATACACTGGAACAAATGGACTTAACAGATAAAACATTTTATCCTAAAACAGCAGAATACAAATTCTTTTCAAGTGCACACTGAACATTCTCCAGAATAGACCACATAGTAACCCACAAAACCAGCCTCAACAAATTCAAGAAGATCAAAGTCATAGCATGCATCTTTTCCAACCAAAAAGCTATGAAGCTATAAGCCAACCATAAAATAATTCTGGAAAGACCACAAATACATGGAGGTTAAGTAACATGCTACTAAAGAATGAATGGGCCAACCCAGAAATAAAAGAAACAAAGAAGGACATGGAAACAAATGAAGATGAAAACACAGTGGCCCAAAACCTTTAGGGTGTAGCAAAAGTAATTCTTAGAGGGAAGTTTATAGCAAAAGAAATCTCAACCTAACCTTACACCTAAAGGAGCTAGAAAAACAACAGCAAACAAAACCTAACGCCAGCAGAAGGAAGGGAACAATAAAGATTAGAATCGAAATAAATGGTATAAAATGAAAAAACACTAGAACAAATCAATGAAACCAGGAGCTGGTTCTTTGAAAAAAAAAATCAATAAATTGATAAACCTCTAGCTACTCTTACCAAGAAAAATGAGAAATAAATAAAATCGTAAATGATGGAATAGGAATAACAACACCAAGATACAATCATAAGAGAATATTATCAAAAACTGTATGCTAACAAATTAGAAAATCTAGAAGAAATAAATTCCTAGAAACATATAATCTACCAAAACTGAAACAGGAAGAAATAGAAAACTCAAAAAGACTGATATCCAGCAAAGACATTGAGTCAGTAATAAACGAAACAAAACAAACAAAAAACTCACAACAAACAACAGCCAGGACCAGATGGTTTCACAGGTGAATTCTACCAGACTTTTAAAGGAATTAATGACTATATTTTCTCAAACTATTCCAAAAAATAGAAAAGGAAGGAAAACTTTCAAATTCATTTTGAAACCAAAACCACATGAAAGACTCTATTAAAATAGAGAATGGTAGGCCACTGATGAATATAGATGTAAAAATTCAACAGAATAGTAGCAAACTAAATTCAACAGTACATTAAAAAAAAGTCATTCGCCACAATCAAGTGGTATTTATTCCTGGGTTCCAACATGGCTCAATATTTGCAAATCAGTCAACGTGATATACCACATCAATAAGAGAAAGGATAAAAAATGTAAGATCACTTCAGGTAGAAGTAGAAAAAGCATTTGACAAAGTACAACATCCATTCATGATTAAAAAAAAAAAAAAACCTTCAAAAAAAGTAGATTTAGAGAGAACATTCCTCAACATAATAAAGGCCACTGAAGAAAAACCCACAGCTAACATCATGCGCTATGGGGAAATACTGAGAGCTTTTCCTGTAAGGTCAGCACCATGACATGGATATCTACTCTCACTACTTTTATTCAACATAGAACTGGAAGTCCTAGCTACAACAATAAGACAACAAAAAGGAATAGAAGACATCTTCACCGGTAAGGAAGAAGTAAAACTTTCACTATTTGGGGATGACATTGTACTATATGTAGAGAAAACCTTAAAGAGTCTACTGAAAAAGCTGCTAGAACTGATAAGCAACTTAGTAAAGTCTCAGGTTACAAAGTCGGTATTGCTTTTCTATATCCTACTAATAAAGCAGCAGAAAGAGAAATTTATAAAAACAATCACTTACTATGGCACCCAGAATAAGATACCTAGGAATAAACCTAACCAAAGATGTGAAAAACCTATATTCTGAAAACTGTAAAACATTAACAAAAGAAATTTAAGACAACACAAAGAAATGGAAAGATAGTCCGTGCTCATTCCTTGGAAGAACAACTATTGTTCAATGTCTATATTACCCAAAACAATCTATACATTAAATGTAATCCCCATCACAATAACAATAGCATTAAAAATTAATGTTTTATTCTGACAAAGAGCGAGCGAGCGAGCAGGGGAGGGTCAGAGAGAAGGAGACGGAATCTGAAGCAGGCTGCAGGCTCTGAGCTAGCTGTCAGTATAGAGCCCGGCGCGGGGCTTGGACCCATGAACTGTGAGATCATGACCTGAGCCAAAGTTGGACACTTAACTGACTGAGCTACCCAGGTACCCCAACAATAGCATTTTTTCCCACAGAACTATAACAAACAATCCTAAAATTTTTATGGAACTGCAAAAGACCCAGAAAAGTGAAAGCAATCTTGTAAAAGAAAAGAAAAGCTGGGGGTATCACAATTTCAGACTTCAAAGTATATTGCAAAGCTGTAGTAATCAAAACAGTATGGTACTGGTACATAATTAGACACCTAGATCTATGGAACAGAATAGAAAACCCAGAAATAACCCACAACTTTATGGTCAATTAATTTTTGACAAAGCAGGAATGAATATCCAATGGGAAAAGGACACCCTCTTCAACAAATGTTGTTGCAAAAATTGGACATCAACATGCAAAAGAAAGAAAATGGACCACTTTCTTTTAACATACACAAAAATAAATTAAAAATGGGTTAAAGACCTAAATATGAGACCTGAAACCATAAAAGCCCTACAAGAGACATAGGCAGTAACTTCTTTGATAACAGGTGAAGCAACTTTTTTCTAGATATGTCTTCTGAGGCAAGGGAAACAAGAGCAGAAGTAAACTATTTGGATTACATCAAAATAAAAAGAAGGTATGGTATCATATATATACAATAGAATACTACTCAGCCTTAAAAAAATGAAATTTTGCCATTTGCAAAGACATGGATGGAACTAGAAGTATAATGCTTAGCAAAATAAGTCAGAGAAATACCATATGATTTCACTCATATATGGAACTTAGGAAAGAAAACAAGCATGGGGAAAAAATAAGAGTGAGAGTCATCAAGAAACAGACTCTTAATTATAGAGGAGAAACTTATGGTTACCAAAGGAGTAAGGAATAAAGGGATCAGTTACATAAGATTAAGGTGTCAACTTGTGATGATCACAGTGCGATGTATGGAAGTGTTGGACTATTAAATTGTACACCTGAAACTAATATAACACTATTTTAACTAACTGGAATTAAAATAAAAACTTTAAATACATGATCATTACATATTCTGTGAAGAAATTCACAAACTGAAAAACATCTCCACAAAACCTATAATCTCAACTGTTAACATGGTGGTATGTTTCATTTAGTCCTTCACACACACACACACACACACACACACACACACTCATGGATACTTTAACATATGATTATATAATTTTTAAAATATAATTTTGTGTCCCATTTTTTAATGTCCCCTTTAATGATAACATTATGTTATTTTGCATTGCTGTTATTTCCAGTGAGAGATAATCTTTCTTAGAACATTTCTACTTTTGAGGTGTTGTATGTATATATGTTTGTATAATTTGTTTTTTCTGTTTCAGACAAAGATGTTTTATTTTTTTTACTACCATCATAATTCTCATCCATCTTACTGAGGAGTTTCTATGCATATATTAAGATTTCATGATTTCATTTATTAGAACTAATCAAGGAAGCAGTCAGTGTGAATAAGATAATATTTTTAAATTTTTTTTCATCTTGCATATAGCAACTAGAGCAATTTTTTTTTGTGCATATACTGCTTTTATTATTATAATTACATAAGGCTGTTAGCTGAGTGAGAACAAATAATAGCTAAAAAGTTTTCAAATGAGAAAAAAACACATTTGGGTAAGTGACGACACAATTTTTTTTGAGTACGTAGACCATAGAAATGTATTTTTTTTTTTTTTGCACCAATTGCAAATGCAAAGTTAACGATAAAATCAGGGAAGTGAAAGATCGAAAGGGGCCTTAAACATAGTCACTATCTTTTAAATTTTAGACAAAGGGCTGAGAATAGAAAAAAAAAACCCCAACATATACACCATAACAGTCTTTTTTTTTTTTAATGACCATGACTTCCAATTTTAACTCTTTTCTAAAAGCATTCTGGGCGCGGAGAACCTACTGCAGACTTTGCACCATCTCCTCCTTGGCTATGAGGTGTGTAGTTTTGTTAACTAGGGACATCAGTCAGTTCAGTTTCTGAGACCAGTCATTTAATAAATTATTTGGATCCTTGGGTCTCTGGAAGTTGATAATTCCTGCCAACCTGTCTACTTTAGCAAAGATGGTCTTATTAACTACTAGATTCGAAAGATAAGCTTCTGAGTCATCAACAGACAGATCGAGAAGCTGGGCCATCCTCTTCATGGTTATCCTCGTATAATACTTGGCCATTATTCTAATATTATGTTCAACAACTCTGTTCTTCAGGTCTTTCCACCTTCTTTCACCTTCCTCCGTAGAACCAAACACATCAGTTGCTGGACTCTCAGGAGACCCTTTTCTTAATTCCAGTCCATAGTCTTCAACCAGCGTGGACCAGCGCATCAGCTCCATTGTGGTAAAAAGCTTTAAAAGATCCTTGTATTTAGGAATTTCTTCTAACTTCTTGTCGCCACTTATTCGGTGAACAAAATCTGACTGTTCATTGTCAAAAGGAGCCAAGATCACATAGAGGACAACACTTTTCAGAGCCTGCTGCCACTTCTCACTTTCTGCCTGTATTCAGGGAGTATCGTATATTGCTCTGTAGTGCTTACAAATAGACAAATAGGACCCCTCATGTTGATCCAGCTGAATCATTAAGTTATAATATTTCAACTTTAATTTCTGAAAAAAAAAGTCAATATAATAAATTGGGACTTATGGTTTTTTCCAAATACTTCTATAGTGAACTTGTAGGTAAGAGACATGCTTACCTCTGTATTTTCTTCCTGGAAAAATTTGGTGTTAATTTTCTTGCTGATGATTTGTGTTCGAATGTAATCCTTCACAGCTAGACAGAGCCTCATCTGCTCCAAAATAAACTCCACTTGCTCTTTCTTTTCCATTGACCCATAGGTTTCCACCTGTAACTCTTGTAAAATGGAGGCTGCCTCCTTCACGTCACCATTTTGCTCTTTTATAGTTGCTAATGTTTTAGTCAGTCGAGCACGTTCAATTTCAACATAAATCTTTCCTTCTGTAACCATTCGCATAGTATCAATTAATCGAAGTTTGATTGGAAGGTCTGTGACTTCCTCAATGTAAGTACAGCACTGTTGAACCATTTTTGCAACAGCTTGCTTTAATTGGCTCCGTCTTTTTGACAAAAGCATAATATTTTCATTAAGTAAATCCCATTATTTAGCCTCATAGCACATCTTCACTACTGCAACTAAGATGCGGGATGTAGACACCATGTCAGAAGCAGTGCGGGTCTGTTTCTCCAAAGAGAGAAGGGTTTCGATGACTTCTTGAAGTCTTCCTTCCTTTTTGGTGATTTCACAATTGCTTAGCGCCTGTCCAGGGACATCAAGGAAGCGTGAAGCCAATCCTAGAGCAATTTTTTAAACAACAATATGAAGTAATGCTGAACCTATGCTAATGAAGATACAATTAATTTAGAAACATCATCATCTACTTACCTACAGTGTCTTAAAAACTTGGAAATAATCCCTCTAGTAATGTAATCAGCTCTCCTAGATTTCTTCTTTAATTCGCCTAACAACATTGTTCTTTATTTTAAGAGCATCTTCAGCCTAATTCTTATATTCCTATTATAATAACAAGAGAGCAATGAGGATTCTATACATCCTTTATTATCATAGGGGAATATTTTAACATCTAATGTGACTGAGAACTAGAGAAGGTGAGAGTAGGACAAGGATGGTAATCACATCTGATATAAGAGCCAAGGAACAACCAATTTGTATTTTTGTTCTAGCCAGGTGATAATAGGCTGTCATTACATGTCTAAATCTCAAAGATCTTTGGATACCTTTTCAACTGCAGAATTTGAACATGGTTAATTATTTTAACACATGTGTTTTGGTGACCAAACTTTTTAGTAATGTGTATCTTCATGAAGTTGAGTGGATTTCCAGTAGGATGATCTTTACCAAATGAGATAAATATTTTAATGGAAATTACCCTCTAGGAATGCATTATGTCTTCTGGTAATTGAAAGTGCTTTATTTGTGTTGATAAACATGTATTTCTAAGAGTATTGATAAATGTAAATGACACAGTAGCACAATAGGCTTTTTTGGTTGACCCTATTTTTTTAACCCAATTTTTAATTTCCTGTTTTCATCATAAAGCCTCTTATTCCAGGAAGCTTGGAACCCTCCCCCCACCCCGCAAAAAATAAGAAAAAATATAAAATTAAAATGAACTGGCATTATCTAATAAAATCAGGATTAACATTTTGATCTAAATGCCTTTACTGTCTTTTCTATCTAAATCTATGTCAATTGTTTATTAAAAGGGAAATCATATGGTGCGTATTGTTTTATAACCTGCTGTTTTGGCCAACATGTGGCCAAATTATTAAAAACAAAACTTTAGCCATTTTATAGATAAAATATACCTTGATTCAATTTGTTTGATTTTTAAGTTTCTCTTGTTAGTGAGGTTGACATTTTTCTTGTCGATGAGCCATTTGCCTTTCTTCTATTGTAAATTATTCATATCTTTTAGTAAGTAATAAAAAGTATTGAGTCATTTCTATTTTTTCTTTACGATATCAGGTGTCTTTTTAATTCATCATTGTATAACATATAATCCCCTACTTTACAATGCCAGAGATATTTTTTTCTTTTTACAGCCTATCAAGGAATATTGCATGATTTCATGGCCATAACATCAAAATGGTAGGATTTCAAGATCATTTACTCAGCTCTGACTTTGAGCTTGCAATTCCCACTTCATAAAGTGTCCATACCTACGTTTGGTATGCTTGCATATACAGAGAAATCTTAATCACCAACCTAACACAGTGTTCTAAGAGTTGCTGAAATATTTTCTAAAACACTGTGAGCTCTGAAAAAGAGTTATCAGTTGCATCAGCAATTACTTGCATGTTTAGTTATGCTGCCATTGTTGCACTAAAAGGCTCAACTTCTACACTATAATTCACTAGCTGGAGGGAATCTGCAGATGCCACTTTCACTGGGAAGACATCTTCTATGAGCTCTCTTGACTTGGAGGCCTTTCCCAAGATCCATTCTCTGTAAAACCAACTTTAAGGAAAGATCCTATATCAAAACTTGTATTAATCAGTTATTTTTTATTACCTTACTAATCTTAAATGCCGACAGGAATTTAGTCTCCAAATTCCTAGCATATATTAGAGTCCTCCTCCACTATTTTCCAAATGTGTATAATAATCTTGGTTTCAGTCACATACTATATTCAGTATCTTTTCCAGGAAGAATTTTTTAAAGTTAAGCATGTCTTTACAGATAAAAGTGTGAGCAAGTTACCTTTATTTTCCATTTATCTTCATCTGACTTGACTTCATGCTGCTTTTCTTTACAAATAGGAATAAGAATTTATTTCTACCCAGCAAATGTTTCTCATAGGCAAAAACATGCCATTAAAAATACCTCTACTCCGTGTTCCAGTGCCTTGTATATATAGGGATGTTTTTGGAATTACATTTGTTCATAGAGTTAAGCAATTGAGAGTCATGGTGAAATGTTTTTATAAAGGAATTCCCCTAAAAAAGGCATAGGAAAAAGTTGGATTCTACTAAGAGTTATTCATATGCTGGTATTTCTGGTGCTGCTTCTTTCTTTCTCCTGAAAGACATTATCCTTAAAATGTCTCAAAACACTATAACTGTGAAACCGCATCCTACTGGGACAGCTCTACGACTGCTTGTATTTTTAATGCCGTGTTTCTCCCCTTTTGGACCCTAAGAGAAATCAGCAACCTTTAAACTGGGAACAAGAAAAGTGTATGTCTCTTGGAAAATAGCATCTGAATGATTCAGTAAAACAGACCATTTCTTGGGATCACTCCATTTGCAGGGCACGGTATGGATCTGTGATGCTTTGAGTGAATGTTGGGCTTTGTAGAATGTCAAAGGTGTTCTGCTTTTAATATTTAGATTTTAAAATAAGAGGATATAAACTATCAGTGGCCTTTCTGATGTTTGGAGTCAATTGTGGGAAGTTGCCCATGATTGTTTTTGTTACTCTGTGGGAACCATAACACAGAAGAGTTCCCCTGGCTTGGCATCTGATATTACTCACATATCACCTATGCGCTAATTTGAGAGTGTTTACCAAGTGTCATGAATGGTGGTTCTAAATGATAGTGTGGTGACTCTTACTCCTTTTATTAAAATTAGTCTGATGTGCTAGTGACAGAAATATTCTGAAAATAAAGACCAGTTTGGTGAACCTAGTTTTCTCCCTAGGTGGATATATTTATAAGGTCTTTCTTTAATGTGCTTGTAGTTATAACCTTTCTGCAGATTCATGAGAAGTCAGGGCTCAGGAAGTCTTTAGAATTCATCTTAGTCAGTTTTTTCATTTTATGGGCAAGAAAACTGAGGACCATAGAGTAAAATAATTGCCCAAAGCCATACAGATGGCAAATCAGAAGTAGAACCCAAGTCTTCTGTTTACCCTCACTTTTGCTAGAAGTTTATCCTAGTTCAGGTACACTTAGATATCACATTGGATAACTTTTTGAATTGCCAAATCCATTAGCGGGTCCTGTTGACTTCACTTCCAACATGAATCTTATATCTATTCATGTCTCTCCATCCACACTACTACCCTCTAAAATCTTATGCCTTGATCACTGAAATACCCTCCTAACTGATTTCTCTTCTTCCAGAACTTCCTGCTACTTACTCCATAATGCATAGAAGAGGCAAAATGATCTCCTTAAAAATATTGATTATATCATGGTTTTTCTCTACTGAAAATCCTAGGTTGATTTCCTTTGCAACTAGAATTAATCTCAAATTTCTTTCCATGGCCTGAAGCATCTACATGATCTATGTCCTGCCTTTCACTAGAACCTCATTTCCTGCCTCTGACCCTCATGTACTGTGCTGCAGCCCCTTTGACTCCCTTTTTTCCCCAAAATGGAAGGTACATTGCCATCCCAGAGCCATGGTGTTTGAACCTTACAGGTGTTCCCATCTTTCAACTCTTCTGGCCCCTCTGTAGAGGTTCCCCGTTCTTGCTCCTCCACCCCAAATCCTTTCTTTATGCTATTTTTTTAGTTTGTTTATTTATTTTGAGAGACAGAGCTTGTGATTAAAGACATCAGTTGAAAGTTTTCTCAGATGGCTAACAGGGCATAGGTTACATTAGGCAGGTAGAAATGCTTGGAAGCATGTTTTGTGTATGTGCAAAGCTCTATGAGTAGTCCAATGTTACTAAACTTTAGGGTTTTAAGTTTATTCATTTAACAAACACTCATAGATTATTTATAATGTGCTAACCCCCTGCTGGTTGATGCTGATAGGGCTGCAAATTGGACATCAAGACCTTGGCTCACATGGAATTTGCAACCTAGTGGGGAAAGACAATATATAATTACATAATAATGAGTGCCATTAAAAAAGATAGAATAGGGGAGGCTGAGTGACTCAGTCAGTTCAGTTTCTGACTTCAGCTTAGATCATGATCTCATGGTTTGTGAGTTTGAGCCCTGCCTTAGGCTGTGCACTGACAGTGCAGAGCCTGCTTAGGATTCTCTTTCTCTCTCCCTCTCATTCTGCCCCTCCCCTGTTTATTCATTCTCTCTGTCTCTCTCATTCTCTCTCTCTCAAAATAAATAAACTTAAAAAAATAAATAGGTACTATAGATGGATTGACACAGAATACTTAAATTATCACAAAGGATTGAATGTCATATATTTATGTATGTATTTACTTGAGAGAGTACTAGAAGGGGCAGAGAGGGAGAGAAAGAGAATCTTAAGCAGGCTCCACATCCAGCCCAGAGCCCAAGGTGAGGCTTGATCTCACCACTGTGAGATCATGACCTGAGCCAAAATCAAGAGTTGGATGCTTGATTTTGAGCCACTCAGGCGCTGCTTGATTCTATGTTTCCATGTAACAACTAAAATCATTATTGTCTTACCAAAGGGCTTTGAAAGAAATATTGCCAGTTTACTTGCTTTATTATGTATTGGTAACATTTCAGGTATTGAGTACATCTAGATTTATCTATCTTACCGTAAAAATTAGGTTTGATTAGAGTACTTAAAATGGAATATTTTCTTATTTATGTTTTAAATTACTTGTAGTATGACATAATATTATATAATATTTAATCACATAAGACTAGGAAAATTACAAGGCTTGACATATTATATAATATTTAATCACATAAGACTAGGAAAAATTACAAGGCTATATTCAAGGCATTGTACACTTTTCTAATATTTAAAATTTTACTTCTCATGAGATTTCTATAGATAATCATTGCAGATAAAATAGCATAATTCATTGTATTT